ATGCAAGACCTCAGGTGTCCGGGCTTATCTTCCAACCAAACTCATTTATTTAACAGCCAACTCCGATTACTCCTTGTAGTTAAAAGAAAGCCCCAAAACAAAGGCTCAGCAGCCGTGTGCTCCTCAGCCATTCAGGGCTGCTGGTGTGGGAAGCAGGTGTTCCGAGGTCTGCATTCCCACTCCAGTCTGGAGAGGCTGGAATAAGACACGGCCTTTTGAAATGTCCACTCTAAAGGAAAGAAAGAGGCAGCACTGCCTCACTTTGCAGGCTGGGAGCAGGCAAAGGGCTCAGCTAAATCATAGCATGAACTAGCCAAGTGCTGCAAAAAGCATTCCCATGGAAATTTCTGCAAATATGGAAATAAATCCAGCTAAGTGGGTTTTATACCTTTTTTTTTTTACTTTAATGGTGTTTTCTAAGTGCTTCGGGACTGCTCATTTTTCATTTCTCTACACACCTCCTTTGCTGATAAACAGGCAAATGGAAACAGGTTGGATATCAGGAGGAATTTCCTCTTAGAAAGAGTTGCTAACATTGGAATGAAGTCACCATCCCTGGAGGTGTTCAAAGTAGCACTCAGTGCCATGGTCTGGTTGAGAAGATGGTGTTTGGTCAAAAATTGGACTCTGTGAACCTCAAAGGTTTTTTCCAACCTCCTTGATTCTGTGATTCTGATTCTATGAAACAACCATCTCCATCACCCTGCAATGACAATCCAAGCACTCAAGCATCCATCCCATCAGCATCCCACTCAGTCACAAAGGCACAAGGACTGGGAGTGCTTGGTTGGCAGAGCCCTCATCACTCAGCTTTGAACATCTTCATCTGAATTTAGAAAAGCATTCTTCAAAGTGCAAACTTATTTGGGGGGTGGGGAGGGGGAAACCTTTGTTTCCTCTCCATTTTTTCACTGGTCAGCCAAGCAGCAGAAGTGGGACTGAAGTGCTGGTCCAGCTCAACAGGTTTCTGTGCTGTAGCATCGTCCAGGACTTGGACAAAGGCTCCTTGTCCTGCTCTTACTACACGCAGTATGGCCAGGCAGTGCCCATGTCAGCACTGCATGAGCCCAGCCCCACCACCCAGATCAGAGAATAGCAGCACCTTCAGCTCAAAATGGCCCAGACTAATCTCAGCATCTCTGGCACTTGTCTGTACCTCCAGCTCTCAAGCCCACAAGCCTCACAGCACACTGGGGCCCTTCTGAAATGCACACTCCTAACCCAGCTATGTTAAGATAATAGCATCCCCTCACCTCCCTTTTTAATAAAGCTGCCAGTTTTAAAGATGCATCACAGTAATTTCTTAAAAGCTACAGGCCGTCAGTGCTGCCTAAGTGCTCTTTACTGGGAGTACAGCACTAGGGGACTGCACAGAACTCACTCACAAGCTAAAAATGTTCCCTCCTCATTGTATGCTCCAGTGGATTACTCAATAATTATACTTAATAGATCCAAAGGTAATTACCATTTTGCTAATCAAGTGTCCCTTTTGTTAATACACAAAGTCAGCCAGGCCACCATTATTCTTGGTCACGCCTCATGCCTGCAGCAGCAGGGCCACTGCACTCACACCACCCTACAAGGAGGGTGCTCATCCCCCAGTCACAACTCTAAACATCTCCTCCTCCTCCTCCTCCTCCTGAAGGGTTAAGGCTTCTGTATCCAAGTCATGGTCAAGCTCAGACAGAACCAATGTGACTGTCAGGAGACAGAGGCTCTGCCCAAGCCTTCTGGCTCCAGAGCAGGGACATTTGCCAGAGATTCACTCTGCCTGTACTGAGTGCTTCATGCCATAGGTGATATCTTCAGTGTGACACAGACACAGCACAGACACAGCTCTGTGTGGGTGTGACAACCACTGTCCGTGCTGGAGTGAAAAGGAGGCTGCAAACCCATCCTCATCGTGAGGTCCCACTGGAGCCATGTCACCAAAACCTCTCCAGAAGCCTGAACTCCTTCAGGAGCTACATGCAGCAGCACGCTGGTGACCTGCAGTTGGATTTAGGCCATGCATGAGGGTTCCTTTTACAAACACTGGCCAAGCAAAGCAATTCCAACTTCCATTGCCATGCCAGCGCTGCCCCAGCAGAACTGGCCAGAGCAGCCCATGCAGGGAAGGAAACAGCCATACCAGGGTGGTGACAACCCCTCTTCCATGAGAGCTCTAGACATCACTGCTGGTGAGTGGCAGCAGTGTTTCCAGCTGGCCCAGCCAGGTCAGGAGCCTTAAGAGGTCTTGAACCATTTTAACCCCCTGGAACACCAGCTCAGACTTTCAACCACCCTCCCATGCAGAGCCATCAGTTCAGTGAGTGTTTTTACTTTGGTCTTCCTGTTGCTGTTTCATGAGATGGGTTTCTAAGAGCAGAGAGAGGGAAAAAGCTGCCATGCTGCCAGTAGAAAATATGCAGGAATGAGAGGTCAGCAGTACAGTCCCCTCAAAATCCCAAAGACATGTTAAAGGCTTTATTGTTTGGCATCTAATACTGGGTCCTGCTTTGTCTCTTCTCTCCGTGTTTAAAGCTACACTCACTTTTGGCTTTTTGTCCAAGTCTGACCAGTTACCAAAAGGCATTTTTATTCTCTTCACAGTCATTTCTGGGAAGAGTAATTAATTTATGTTAATTTGGAGAGAAAAGGCATAGCAATGAACTTTCCCAGTCCAGAGATAAAGGGTAATATATTAAAAACCTACTGGTGATAAAAAGATAAGACACATAAGTTATGATCTTTCCACCATAAAGTGCTGCTTATTGAAAGAAACAAATTATTTTGAGTAGTTTCAACCCTTTCAAACAGTCTGACTTAAAACAATAGAACATTTTTTTATCTGAGCTAAAATGCATTAGGCTTGTTCATCCCAAACCAGACCATCTTCTGTTCACTGTTAACTGTTGATCCAGAAGCAAGAAATTCCCTCAACCACTCCAGATTGGCTGTGTTAGGTATGGGAGATACTGAAGGACTGGGCTGGAAACAGATGAGAAGGAAGGAAAGAAATTCAGTAAGATTTTACTTTCCACTGAGTATTTTACACTCCTGTTTTCCATGTGAGATGCTTTTTGTGTTTGTCTTTCATAACAAAAATCTGTTTTCAGCAAATGAACCAGAACACATGAAACAGAATACATAGTTGGTGGAACATGGGTAAAAACTCCAAACATTTAGGAAACCATGATTCTGCCACTCTAAGCCTGGACCAGGAGGTGTTTACAGCCTGGCCCTTAGTTCAAAACCACCCTAAGCGATGTTAATCGAGCACTTTCAATAGTGTTGCAGTCCCAAATTTCAAAAAGGCACAAAGGAAGGACAAGTGCTCAAATACCAAAGCAAAATGACTTTGTGCAGTGGCCAGGTGGATATAGAGAATGGTGGAGAGCATGCTCAGAGCTACAGTTCATTTCCTGCAGAGAGAGTGAGACAAGAAAAGCACTGGGAATAAAAGTATTGCACAGCAGGAAAAACTCGGTTTTACAACTGCCCTACCTCTCCTTCCCTGGTAATACCAAGATATCCACCAGCTACATGAAAACTCACTTTCTGGAATAAAAATTACTGACAGAATGCAGGGAAAGGGAGACAGAAGCTGAAGAGCTAATGAATCATCTGCACTGGGAAGGAATGGCACTGGTTGCCCCCCAGAAACATCCCGCTCCAGGGATGGAGCAAAGCCCTCATTGGTCACCAGGTGCTGATTCCACCTCTGTGGCACTAAGTGCTAATTTGCAGCATTTAAGGATAATTATAGGCTTTAGCCACACAGGTAACTCAATCCATCAGAAAACACATCCCAGACCCAGGCTTCATTTTCCCTAAACCAATGCCTTCAGGATTGCACGGACACACACTTCAGCCTAGAACTCAATGACAAATCTGAAGCAGACAGGCTGTTTACAGAAGGAGAAAAGCTCTGAAGTAATTGCTGGCAAATTATCATGAAGAACATTATCAAGCAACAAGGCAAATCCCCTTCAACAGGGGAGGATGTACTGCTTGCACTGGTGTCTCCTTGGGGATATGGCTTAAACCCTGCTGCTGGCTGCATTGAGAGCAAGGGCTCAGGGTTGGAATTTCCAGGCTCCCTTCACACTGTGCTGTTTGTCAGGAGGGAACAGCTAATAGCCTTTTGTCAGTGCTTTCTGTGCCCTCTCTCCAAAATCAAATTACTTTGTGCAAATGGAAAATTACCTGAGAAATCAGGCAGGTGTTTAAGAAGGGATTGGGATCCCCAGTGGAGGAGTTAGGTGTACGAGCCAACATCTCTCCAGTGGAAACTCCAGAAAAGCATAGCCAGGTTGAGATCAGGTTCTTTAATGCTCTCTGATGTCTGTGTGATCCTTCTAGACTTGTTGACCTCAGCAGTCCTGGAAGCAGGTCCCCAGGAAATCAGCAGCTTTGCTGACAGCAGGATTTACTCACATCCTTCCCATCCTGTACCTAAAGACCAAGTACAGCTCTTGCTGCCTCCTCTCTCAGCTGGGGAGAGCTGTTTCTGCTTCCCCAGCTACCTTTCCATAAGCTTTGGAGATGCTTGACACCCTCCCAGCTCTTCACCCTGGCAAACATCATGGACATTCCTCAAGACACTCAAAAGCTCATAGCAATCACCCCTCCAAGCAAGTTTGGTTCCTCCAACCGAAACAAAACACCACAAGAAGCCAGCTGGGATTGGGCAGCCAACGTTGACCCTCTGAGTCAGCTCATCCTCTCTACCCATTCATCACTCAGTTTCTACCAAATTTTAGCAGAAGTTTTCCAAAGTGCCCTGAAGGATCCTGGTGACTGTCAGCATCTTTGTCATTGTTAGTTAACTGCCCGTTCCCCCTTCGTTTTCCACAGGGTTACAGAGATCTGTCACGTTTCAGGGCTGTTTGCAAGGCAAACAGGTTATTCATAATTTATCTTTAGTTTTTTCTGTTTATTCAAGTTATTATGTTATTTAATATTATAAATGTACTAATACATGAAATATGTATTGATTTAGGTTTATTCTGGTGCAGTGGAAGGACAAACCCACAGCATCAAGATGTCAGACATTTTCCTAGAACCGAGGCAGTGTGACAGCAGCACCACAGGGCTTAGAAAACAGGTTTCCAGGGTTTCATGTTCAATCCACCAGACCACAGGGCTTCTGCTGGTAAAGGACAAGGGAACAGGAATTATTCCCCCCAATGACTCTGGGTTGTTGCAGCCTGGGTCTTGATGGACGAGCTGCAGAGTCATTTATGTGAAGGACTCATCAATGATTTAGGGTTTCTCCCGCTGGGGTAAAGGAAAAGCTGCTGACAAACAGCAGGTTCTCCGTGTAGGGAGGCATGGGGCAGGGCCAGCGCTCAGATCACCTCGCAGCAGCAGGCAGGTGCAGGTTTCTTAATGTTCCAACAATGGCTGCAGAGCCCAAGCAGGCAGACATAAGGTTCCCTACAAGGCCAACCAAAGCTTCTGTTTCCTTCTGAGAGCTTTCTGAGGTTCAAAGATCTTAAATAAACAAGGCAGCAATTGAAAGCCTATCACTGGCTGCCCTGGCAGCCGGTCTGAAGGAAGCAGAAACTTGTAAAGAAGGTACTGAGCTCCAGCTGGCAGACACCGGCCAAGCTCCAGTACATTTGTAGAGAAAGTTTAGGACGACATGGCTGGCTTCTCTGCTCGGAAAAAAAGTGTAGCTTTCCCTTCCCCTAGGATACACCAGCAGTGGGATTTAAGGACTTCAATGCACGGCCTGAAAATGAATGGGGTTCTCCTGGCCCCAGAGACCCAGAACCAGAGTGAAGGCAGGATGCCCATGGGGAGGGATATTTATCTGGGTTCCCTTAGGAGTATTGCAGTGGCAATAATGATGACCCAGCAATTTAAATTAGGCCATACAAAGTCTTTTCTTAGAATGAAAGTTTTTAGAGCATGTAGGACAGCCACTGCAAACAGCAAAATTTCTCCACAACCATAAAACCTCACAAAACCCCCAAAACCACAGGCAGGAAATTAAAGAGAATTCAGAGGAAAAACAACACTGAACAATTACATCTCTGTAGGGATTATACTGGGAAAAGCTAAAAAAGAACAAAGACCTTGATCTTTCAAGCACGGGGCCTGTGCTCAGCTTTGCCGGCAGGAGCTGTGAAGAAGGGGCACCAAGGGACCACGGCCAACCATGGGAGGGGAGACAACGGGGCCCAGGTGACCCCCTTTATTTCTGGCTTGCTGTTTATTAATTCCAAAACTGGAATCGAGTTCCGACTAGTTGAGGCTACAGGCTTATTACACTTGCTTGCATTTTCCCCCCCTTAACTTTCTTTTTCTCCACTGCAGCTCTGTAGTACAGTTTTTATTTTAGCTAATGAATCCCTGCCCACACATGCGAGAGACTCCAAAACACCCACAGACCAGAGGCAGGGGAAGGAAATGCCAGAATTGTTTGCTGAAATCTGGCAGTGGCTATTTTTCGCGAGGGGCCAGAGGAACACAGTGTTCTCCAGAGATCCTGAGAAGGGTGAGGTCAGAGACTGGCTTCTGCCACAAGGCCTCAGCACTGGGAGGCTTTTTTGTCTTTTGCAATTACATAATGTCTTTTCCATGCCTTAAGTTGGTTGCTTCCAGATTGCTGGAGAGAGCTCTGAAATGACACACTCCACAGCTTTAAAAAAAAACAACAAAAAACCCCCGAAAAACCACACAACACACTTCTGCTCATATAAAACTGCAAAACCTCGTTTCCTGCCACAGTCCCGTATTGTAACAGATGGAGGAAAGGCGGGGGAAAGGGCTTTTTTTTTCCTCTTTCATTTTCCATATTATCCATGTGTTGGCAACACACTGCTGTCACAGAGTGGTGGAAAGTTCATTTACGGGAAACCTTCCGAAACTGGAGCAGCTCATAAAACTTTTAATGCAGACCTGGTTAAAAAATAATGACATGAGACCTGAACGTTTTTCAGGGCAGTTGGGGAATGCATTTTTGGTCTATTTCTACACCTTGAGCAAATCATGATATTAAGAACTATTTTAACCATAGGAAGAGAGCAACTCATCTAAAAAGGGCAGAATAGGGATGAAGTGAGAGTTCAAGGAGTGAAACCTCTTGGGTCTTGTGATCCAGGCAGGTGATGAGGCACCTAAGCTACGCTGCCTAAACCCTTTGCCTACCCTTACCTGTAGGAGAACTTCTTAGCAAGGCCTTTAGCTAACACTGACCAGAAATAAAGCAGCTACAAGGCAGAGTGGAAACTTTCAGTTATGAAAACGTCACTTTCTAATTTTTGACTACAGGCAGAAGATGAAGATGGTTTGGATGCTGGGGCAAAACCACAGGCACCCATGGACTGAGGAGCCCTGCACTGAATTGCAAGCTAGGCCTCCAGTTGGTCACAGCCTGGGGAAAACCACTCATATCCGGATCCACAAAGTTACTTTGGCACCAGAGTACTACTGCTTTGAAGGCTTCAAGCAACTTTTTAAGCTCTCAGAAAAATGACTGTTCCCTAAAATAAAGTGGTGGCCCCATCCCATAGGAGAGGTGTGAGGACCTGTGGATCTGAAGGGTCATGAGGAAACAAGAGACTCTTCTCTCTGAACAACTCTGATCCTCCAGGGCTTTCCTTTGCCCATCCTGTAGCCTTTCTGTCCTGCTTTTTGTCCATGGAGCACAGAGTACGGCGTCAGTAAATGAGGTTAGTAATGAGAGTGTATTTTCCTAATTCGAGTATCTGGATATATGAAGCAATTTGGAGGCTCTTGGACAAAGCCACAGGGCGTTCTGTAACAGCCACAGTGTGGATTACATGCTTCAGCCGCTCTAAATCCATATGGTCCATGATTTGGTTGAATCTCCCAGCTCAAGCCCTCAGATGAGGGACAAAGTCAAATAACATCCTGGAAGGGGCAGAGGAAAAAAGAATAGGGAAAAACCCAGAGAAAGCTGGTCACAAACAGCCCATTCTGTGCTCTGGTGATGGAGAAAAGGCATTTTCTACATAACTCAGCCTGTACGAACAGGAAATCTGTGTACTGGTGTGTTCCCACACCACGCACACGAGGGGTCTGTGTGCCGCTGGAGTGCCTGATGAATCATTCATTGTCCTTCCTCAGCCTTTCCAGTAGGAAGAAGCTACACATTTGACCTTATAAAAAGCAGTAATTTTGCCTGGTAAGATGAGGCCAGCAGTAATCCAGGCCTTGCTGGCAGCCTCAAACACACGGGAGGAGATACGGGTTGCTGCTGCTATGCCGCCAAGTGCTGCTTCAGCATTTCCATGTGAAGCCACTGTTTTCAAGACTTTCAAGTGAGCCAAGAAAAGAAACAAAAAAGAATCTGCCCCCAAAATACCTTTCCTTTAAAAATATATAAATTATCCTGCAGGTTTTCATCTCCAATAGAAAAATTGAGAAGTGGACACTTGTTTTATAACATCTTATTTCCCCGTGAAGAGGACTGCTGTTCTTGTGATTTTTAAGGGAAGCTTGCTCATGCACATTCTCAAAAGAAAGAATTAAACAGGTAAATTTTTTTGTTAGAAAATTGGTAATATGATCAAACCAAGGCTCATAGAGGTCAGTAGGCCAAATGGGGAAGAGAGAATGAAAATGTCTGTCAGTATGTCTTGCAAACTGTCTCTGCTAAAATCCTTGCTCTGCCAGTTGCTTCTGTTGTGTCTATGAGTTCTTAACAAAAGTGATAATTAGAATTATTAGAAGGAATTAGTCATCCTGTGTAAGTTGATTTTCATTGTCTTCCAGGGGAAGGAGTAGGAAAAATGGGTCAGTGGTTGAGACCACCTGTCTGACATCTCTGCTCCTCCCCAGATTTCCTGTGCAACCTTGAGGACCCTTGGAGGATGTTTTTGGCAAGTTAGCACAGAAGCTGGTAACACAGCCAAGTCCTGTACTCTGTACCACTGGAAACTGCCAGAGAATGTGACTGGCCTTGTGCTCCCACTGGGGAACTGGGGACAGGAAAGTCTCCCATCCAGCAGAGAGACGTCCCTTGGGAATCCTGCACCGGTAGAGGCAATACCAGTGCATCAGACAGACAGAAACTGGACAACACATTAAAAACTTGCTCCCTCTCCAGTGATCCTATGTTAAACCTGAGGGAGGAAGAGGGATGTGCCTGCAGACCTCACCCATCCTTGCTGGAAGCTGCCGGGAATTTTGTGCTCCAAACCTGAACATCTTGTGTTTCATGTAATCTCATTGAAAATATTTTGATTTATGATCTCAATTACCCGTTAACTGAAATCCCACATCTCAGATATCATGAAATTAAGCAATAATGAATAAGAAGCTGTGCTGTTGAGGCACTTTACAGAGTGATTCATATTAAATAAGAGTCTTTGTAGCCAATTTAATAGTTTGCCAGATTAACACATACCTCGCTAAATAGTAAATACTTTTCTTTTTGGCTGCTTTGGAAACATCATTGCATTCAGTAGTTAGTGAAGAGCAAAACTAATAAAATATATAAAAAAGAGTCAGAAGAAGAACTTAGGGTATAAGTGGAGCTTGTGCCTTATCCAAGCCTGAAGGAGAATTTAAAGATTTAATTACAGCTAATGAGCAGATATTTCAAAAGCAAAAGCTGCAAAGCTCTTTTTGTGACTTAATAATACATAGAAGGAAACAGTGAAGTGTGATGCTTCCATGGGGGCAAAGTGTGTTTCTCTGGGAACACATTTAAAACCCAAGGGGAGCACAGAGTCACCCAGAGGCCAAAGAGGAAAAGCAAATCCTGCCATGACATGGTTGGTTCTTTTCCAGCTTTGGCACGCTAAAATTCCTCCCAAGCTCTTTTGAGAATTACTACACTAGGCAAAGCTTAGGTTAAGCAAAGAACCTGAAAAATTCTCCACCAAGGAGCTACCAGGGCTTGCAGAACCATCTCTGCCAATTCTGTTTGCCTATGAAATATTAACATGGTGCTGATGACAGCTGTTGTCTTTGGCAAACACAGGATACACAAACACATTTCCTTCTGAGGGTGCATGTGAGAAAACCTTGAGGTCGTGGATAAAGTTGGGAGAGAAAGCACAAGGTGAGGATACCTGAGGATACCTTGACCTTGAGACACTTGTGATGATGCCAGGCAGATCAGATGCCTCTTATGAGAACAAACTTTTCATTGTAAATCTGAACCCAACCACTCACGTGCACCTCCCAGGTGGAATGGAAAACATAATCCATAATCAGTATTTGTAAGGTTCCTAGAGGTCCTTGTTAAAAAGCCACACAGACTTATTTATCTCAAAACGGTCTAAAACTGTAGTGCTCTATATACACTACTAGAGGACTAAAATTGGTATGAAATATTCCTGTACAAAGGAGTGAGACACCACAATAACTATAACATGAATGACTTTCTACCAGGAAACAGCCAGATGAGTCGTGTTCCTCCTGCTGAGAGCTCAAATGTATCTCACCAAATCTTTAAATGAATTTGTTCCTTGAAACGTCGCTGCCTTGTACAAGCCTATTTCAAGGAATGCCTTGCAAATAGTGAATTTCAGATAGCTCATGATCAAATTTAGAAATTTGTTCCATATTGAACAATTTTTGAAGCCCCAATACCGCTCGTGTTCCCTGTTTTGGTGGCTCTGCACTCGCAGCCTGCAAGGCATCGTAGGGAACATGCGACATGGAGCTGATGTTCAGAGAAAATTTGCACAAACACATTTAATTGGCTGTGAGAAAATCATGTAGCAGAAACATTGCTGCTGGAATGATCACAGAAACATATAAAAAGTCTACAGAAAAGGTAGAAAAAACCAAACCAAGAACCCAACCCAAAAAACATTCAAACAGAACATTCATACAAAAAGCAAAAATAGTCCCAAGCTGGTTTGCCACTTGGTTTCCAGCCCCAGTTTACTGAGTGATGGGTGTTGAGTGAACTGAGGAAATTAGTTACATTTTTGAGGGTTTCACACAGCTTAAGGAATAATTTTCATGACATCAACAAATAGTTTGATTTGAAATCTGAGAACATAATTCAACTCACTAGCAAGTCCTTACTGGGGGGGAAAATATCCTTGAGGGGCACAGATCTTAAAAACCAAGCCCTAGCCACACTTAAATACAAAGAGTAAAGGTTATTTACATCTCCTACCTTTTATTCAATAAATCCAGCCCTTGAGGCACACCAAGGACTCCTGTATGCACAGTTGGTCATTGGCATTCCCAGGTGTCCTGCAGCTGCCAGGTGTATGACTAAAGAGGGTGACAAAAGATAAAATAATGCTTTAAGCTCCATCCACCAAACCAACCATTTAGGGAGCCTGTTTCTCCAGCCACAGCAAACTCAAGAATTGCAGACTACAGATTTCCATGGATTGATTCCTGCTGCTGACACAGATACCCACTTCAGCTGTGGGAATTCTGCCCTGGCAGAATTCCTGGCAGCCTGGTTCCCAGGCTGGCACTGGAGTGTTGGCAGGAGCTCGGAGCACAAGTGATCCATCCATCCATGTGGACACACAGGACACCAGATGGTCCCTGGCACTGCAGGGAGGAATTCAGCCCCTGGTGAAGGTGTCATCTCTGTCCTGCTGCTGTTTTGCCAGCAGTGCAGTGAGAACACCCTGGGGCTGTGACCACATCAAGCAAGAAAAGTGTCAGTAAACAGCTGTGGAGCACAAGCAGTGCAAGCCCCAGGTTTAGAACCAGGAAATCCATGCTGACAACCAATTGTGTGCACCTCTTTACTCAGCCCTTAAAGCAGAAGAGATTTCAAAGTGATGATGGCCCTGCCACTGTGCCTGAGAAGCTGCACAGCAAAGTCATGCCCAAGCACACCCTGGGGTAGGGGGCAGCTTGTTTTTGGCTATATATGGATCTACTGAGTGATTCTTTTGGAAAATCCCACCTCTGTGGAGCCTCGAGAGACACCTCTGGTTATGTGGGAACACTCAGAGGGTGAAAACACTGCAATACAATAACCTGTACTGGAGACAGTGACTCAGAGCAGTCAGGATCTCATATCCGGCTCTTGGGCCACCCTGTCAGGACACGGCTCCAAAAACTGGAGTCAAGTCAATGCAAAAACCCCAGGTTCACCAAAACCCAAGAGCTTTGCTCAAGAAACTCACACTTTGAGTTCCCTTTAAACCACAGATGATCACTGGCTGGATTTTTGTTCACTTGCTTGGTTCTTCTTAGGACAAATATATTTTAAAGCAGTTTTCTCTTGCCCACATGTTGCTATTAAGATCCGTGGGCAAAGCCTGGGAATTTATTGGTAGTCTAACAGTATTTACAAAAACGTAATAAAAACCCCAAAATTTGATTGTAAACATAATAAATCGCCTGTCCAGAGGCACCCTGTGCATCCTGCAGCCAGCACAATCCCAGTGGCACTGAAAATCCCTGGGTAATGTTGTTCAGCCAAACCCAGCAATGGCCCACATGCACTGAGGGCTCACAGTGGCCACCTACAGATCACAGCTGGCCATCCATGAGCCATCCTTGCTGCTGGGATGTTTGCCACCTTTCCCCAAAAAGATCAGTGGGACACACTGTATATGGAGCCTCCACGCTCTGGTTCAGCAGAGCTGTGTGCTGGAGAGTTGGGTGTTTAAATACTGAGCAGCTTAGCAACAAATGCTCAGTACACAGAGCAGGTAAATAATTTAACAACTTCTCTGTGTTTATTAGCCAAATCAAATATTCACCGTGTGAGCTGCTAACGGCAAAAATTGTATTTTTCTGTTTGGGCCAGGTGAGGTTTCCTCTGCTTAACTGCAGTCTTAACTTTATTTTCTTTACCAATTGTGGAGAAAAAAAAAAAATTATACTGAACAAAACTGGTGCCCAAAATCCATCTGTCCCTGAAGGCAGAAGCTATCCCAAGTGAAGAATACACTTTGATTTGCCAATGTTTTCCTGTTTCCCTATGGTTTTCATTTCAAGTAGGTGCCAGTCTCTGGGAAGCTCAGAAATACTCTCTACCTCTTGCAGCTCAGCTTTTCCCAGTAACACACTACAACACTTCCTGCTCCAGGAGCTTGTTAGGTTGAACAGGACTTGTCCCTGTCAGTCTGCTGCTCAAGTGTGAGAATAATTATTCCTTTGGCACTTTATACAGTTCCGTTCTGCTCCTTGTAATAAGGATTGGAGCTCATTAGTACAAAATACGGTGTCTGAGAACTATTAACACAAAGTTAAATATCCATGTAAAATAGGGAGAGAGAGAGAACTGGAAATCTATGTGCAAAGTTCCATTTCCCAAGGTTTCAGTGGGCACTAAAGCCACATAGATCTAGGAACTTTGGGGAAAATCCTTCTGGTTTTGGTGTCCATGAAAGTTCACCCAAGGAATACAAGGGACTCTGCCCACCTTTCACTTTCATGAGAGAGGCAAAGCTGGGCCAGGTCACAAGATAAAATACAGGACCATGACTCATAACCACACCTTGAAAATGTTTTCTGTCAGCTGCAGAGCATTTTATTCTCTCATCAGCCTATGGAAAACGCAGTGCCTATGGAATGCCTCTAGGGCATGGTGCAAAAACAAACCCTGTTGACTGCTTGGCATTGAGAGCTGTCCCTTCCTTGCTGGGCGGTCCTGCTGCTGCTAATCAGTCACCCAGTAAAGAGAAGAGGAGCTGGCCTACGTGCTTGGAGACTGGTGCACACGTAATGAGCTCAGCAAGCTCGGCCACAGGACATGAAGGTTAAAAATGAGAGCGGATATAAACTTTGGACCATCATCAAAGATACACTTGGTGACAGAGGGAATGTTTAGAGAGGAGATAAACAGGACTGTGAGGAAGGCCAGAGAGGGGTGTCCTAAAGTGACTGCTCGTGTAGAGCCCCCCCCATTACCTGAAGGAGAGGAGCAACACCACATGGGCTTCAGTGCTGCCCTTCACTGGCTTTGCCTCTGGAGCAACACACTGTATTCCAGAGCTGCTCTTCCCACTGCAACTACCCCGAGAGCAGGCAGCATTTTCACGGCAAGATTTGCATGACTGTCTTATTCCTGCACATTCTTTACTGCTGCTGAATACACCTTTTGTCCCCTTGTTATAACTTTCCTCTTGCTGCTTTTGCTGGGGCATGTGGTGAGTCTGGTCTCAACAAGAGCTGAGTGGTGTGCAATGTCACAATTGCTGTTTGTGATGAGCAAGGGCAGCAGCCCTCAGCCTCTGCAGGCAAGGAAACACCTGGGAAAGCTGGTCCATGTTTAGAGGTGCTGGACAAGAGTCAAAATGTCAAAAATTAGAATGAAAAAATAGGGGGCATGTGTGAAATCTGTGCTTTCCTTCTGAGTTCAAATTTGTTTCCTTTTTTTTTTTTTTTTCTAAAGTAAACCTAATGAAATGGAATTAACAAAAAAAACCCCAAACAGGTTGAACTTAGAAAAAAAAATAGAATTAGAAAATCCTCGGCTTCTTTACTTATCATTGCATTGAAATAAATATTGCCTTACACTAAGAAACTCAGGCACAGTATTCTTGACTTTCAATCCCCTCTCTCTAGGCACAAACAGGAAAATGGTGTGAGCAACATGTGCATGAACTCTCCCCAGAAATTCCAGTAATGGGACTCAAACAAAGTAAGGCTGTCCTGAGTTGCTGTGGAATAGGAAAGAGGACAAGTGTTTCAATCTGATATATTTCAATGACTTTGCCAGCCTGAAAGCCCTTCCTCTAACAGAGGTCTGGCACAATGTCTTTATCTGCTCCTTTATCTGTCCAGAGGAAAGAGTGCCAGGCCCATTGCTTCCTATGAGGATACGTCACCCTGGTTAATCTACAACATCCCTCATTATGTCTGCACACACAACGAGGGGTTTACGTGATGCTCTACGTGTCCTTCTCCTCTAACATCAACTCTGAAGCACCAGCACTTCCACCAGCACCAGCCACACCCTGGACTGATGCCACCACCAAGGCTCTGTGAGAAACGGGAGCCTTGGCTTGCGGCAGCTCCCACTTCAGTCACAATCTAAATAGGGGCTAAAATAAACAGGTTATGGCTTCTATTGTCACTGCATCATCCTGTCCTGACTGAGTTCTTAGCCTGGGAAACTCGCACTGAGTCACAGAGAGCTTGCCTGGAGCAAGGGATTCGTGCTAGGAGGAAAGGTTCACCACCAACACCACTTGGGGGTATGCAACAGGGGGAAAGTCCAGGGAAGAGATGAAAGATTTGTTTTGGTTTGTGTGGATTTTTGAATGAGCTTGGCCCTACAGGGAAAGTACAAAGTCTAGGGACCTTACAGGGAACCAATTAAAGCAGTCACAACAGAGCAAGCTGGCCAGCCTTATCCAGAACTGAAAAGGATCAGTAGGGAAATAATGTCAGCTTGTGTGGTCCTTGGTCTCCTGGTTACCTCTCCTGGGTGAGGATGTGTTGAAAGATGAGAGCCCCCAGCCAGAAAATCCTCTGGCAGCTCCTTGCCTAAGCATACAGAGTTTTATCTTCCTCTCCAGAGGCCCCATTTCAGCTTTGCAGAACAAAATCTGCTCTGGCCTGTTCAGATAAAAGCTCTCCCAGTTAGCCAGCTAGCCATGCCATCTCCTAAAACAAGGGCCTTTACTCGCCCTGGAGGAACTGAATGCGCACTGGGTTTTCTCATCTGCCCTTATGGATTGAACCATGCAACCTTGGGTTTCCAATGCGAGAATTACCTGTAAAATACCTAGACATGAAAGTACAGGACAAAAAGGCTGCTCCCATTTCCCTGCTAGCTAAGCTGCCTGGACAGAAAAGCAGATTTTGGCTTGTGCTGGAAAAAACAGATCTCTGATGAGGAAAACCATCCCAAACAGTGCTTTCAAACCCAAATGCAGGCTCTGGGGGTATTGATTTCTTTATTATTGACTGTTCTTGTTGGCTCTGTACAGAATTTTGGTTGCAGGATTCTTTCCTGAGGGCCCAAGAGACTGCTGAGCTGCAGTGCTTGTGTGGCCAGCCATGAACTCACATTTGTGCATCTCAGAGGGGTTCGACAGGATTCTAACTGAAGGATGCTACAACCTCACATCTCAATTAAACCAAGTGGAAAAGCAGATCTGAGTTTCAGCTCTGATGATTCTCTATAGAGGTCTCCCCACCTCTGCTATGTTAAAAGTGCTACAGCTGGCTACCACCCTGACATCCTTTAGGAAAAGGATCTAGAACTGGGAAAAAATGTAACTACAATAATACTTACCTTTCCAGGTCATAGCTGGTCCTGAAGCAGACCAGCAGTTTCAGGAGATGTTGTTACCTATTTTATTTGCAGGGGATTTCACATGGAGATTTAATATTGAATCTGAAGCAAAGGGATTCAGTCACCACGATGAACAGAGCAGTTTAACCTGCTCACCTCATACCTTGCTCCATAAGGTATTCCCTGACATTAGCTGTTTGTCAATCACTTTTTGTGCTTGACTAAATATTCCTGATTAACATTTTTAGCCTTCTGCCATCCTATTGAATTCAGGTTTTAAATGCCTTTGTCAGAGGGTTTGGAAGCACATCTCTGTTGGCTGAGGGGTTCTGTTAACTCACACCAGAAAGTTGTGAGTGCAGGAAAATTGCATCCCTGCTCTCAGCTTCCCAAATTCTCTCCTCCCCACTTGGTCTTACAGTTTGGGATCCTGCACACTGGTAGGTCATCAGCAGTTCTCAAGTTATGGAATGACTGTCTGGCCTTTACTGCCAAAGAAGAACTGTGGCTTTCCAAAGCTGTGCCTGGATGAGATGCTGCGTTTTGCACAGTGCAGTTGTTCCACTGTGTAGCTTAGACAAAAGGTTCCCGTGAATCTAAAAAATATGAAAACATTTTGCTGGGCCACCTGCAGCAAGTTCTGTTGTGTGCCAGTAATGGGAATGGCAGCAACATGTTAAACAAGCAATCCTGATGAGTTAATACATGGGCTGAGCTCTGCCTTGAAATTCTTTGATTCCTGTAACTGGTGAATGACCCAGTTATAGGTTGATGGTGATGATGATGATGATGATGATGTTTTTTCACTGAAGTAATTAATTCTGTGAATTTTTAAAGTCTACTGCATTGGTTTTTAAGATGATGAAATGTCCTACTTCTCTACTTCATCTCTTTAATATCAGGGCAGAAGTTAAAACCAAACAATGGTATTCCCCTTGAATGTGTTGCTTGGCACCTTGAAGACATCCCTTTTATAATGTAGAAAAGGCAGACTGTCATTTTCAGATCTTAAAAATGCTTAAATGATCAAATTATCAGTGGAGTTGCACCGGGAGTGTTCTCTTAAAAAAAATCCTGTTAGCTGTAATACTTTGCTCAATCTACTCTAAACAGTGTGAAATAAAGATCAAGTACATTTTGAACTGTAATGCTGCCTCTAATTAAAAGTACTCAATGCTTTCTTTTGCAAGACCTGATACACAGAGGAAAGCAAATGGGATGACAGGTGAAAGTGACCTTTTCAGGGAGAAGATGCAGGCAAACCCATCATCCCCAGCTCCTGTTACCTGATGTAGCCTAGACTGATTTCCCCTGGATTAGTGTCAGATGCTGATCTCCTTAATTAGTGAGGGCTGTTCCCCTCTGTAGCTGCTTTGTCTGATTCTAGCAGGACTAGCTATGACAAAATACAGGATTCAGGAGAAACTGGCATTATCCAGAAACTCAGCCTACAGGAGCAAGGAATCATGGAATGGTTTGGGTTGGATGAGACCTTAAAGACCGTATTGTTCAACCCCCTGCCTTGGGCAGGGATGCCACCCACCAGACCAGGCTGCTCAGGGCCCTGTCCAGTCTGGCCCTGAACACTTCCAGGGATGGGACATCCACAGCCTCTCTGGCTAACAGAGGATAGGTTTTGCCTTGAATATTTTCACCTAGGACACAGAACAAGACCAACTGCTTTATTGTGCCAGCCCTGCTTGCTGTGGATGTGGATCCACATGCAGGATGTGGAGGTGCTTTTGCCTCAACTTTTGTCCTTTCTCCAACACCACCATCCTTTGCCTGGCTTCACTGTTAGAGACTCTCAGCTCTGCAAAGCCAGGTGGATCTCTCATCACAGCAGCAGCACTGTTGAGCTCCAGTCATGGCCCTTTGTAAAATGGACATCACCATAATGTCATTAATTACCACAGTCAAACATGAACAAACATTCCTGAATTTCTCTGCATTGGTAAATCTTGGTGCCTCCCGCCAGGATGTTCAAACAGCCACTGATACAGCACAGGGACCAGCATTGAGAGCACAATGAATTTTGGTGAAGCAAGGGTAGACCAAAGCTGCAATTGACCTCTTTCTCTGCCTGTTCCACAACAGACAACACAGAAATTTATTCCTTCCCTAGGATTTACACTCAGTAGCCTCTTCATCGTAGTATGGTGCACTCTTATGTAGAGATAGTGACAAATGCAAGCACAGGCAGTGAGCAAACAGCCATTCAGAGAGAAGTCAGGCAGCTAAACAGGCCCTTGCGAGGCCAGTGCCTCTGAACCCAGGACTCAGATGCCAAATAAGCTCCATCACAGGCCAGGGAGTTGGCCTAGAGCTTGTGAAGGAGGGACACAGACATTTCCTTAGTGCACAGAGGCAGCTCTGATCTTCTCGATGCATCTGACACCCTCGTACGGATCCATTCAGGCTGACAAAGTGGTGATTTCAGCAGCAACACTAACGAAGCTTGATTTACCACTCTCATTTGCAGGCCACGTTTCTACACTGTCAACACCACTGCTTGAGATCCTCCCTTCTTGCCATGAGCATCTTTCACTTCTCTCTTCAGCAAGAACACAGAGCTTTTCCCCATGTCCTGTCACCCAGCCCTGGGTAACCTCAGTTTTCTACACATTCCCAACCTTTTTCCTGGGCAGGTGGTGGCCCGTGCCAGGGTTGCTGCCAGGGGAGCTGCTGTGGCCACAGAGTACAGTGCTACATGATGTCACTTCCAATGGGTACATGCTGATAGCAAAGAAGGGAGGAGAAAAGAAGGGACAGATAACGCAGGAAATATAAGGTAGGACCAGCATAAGATTACTTTCATCTCCTTTTTGCTGCCTAGCAATAAGCTAAAGTTTTCTGCTGGTCTCAGAAATAACCCCATGGCCAAGGGCTGCCCAGGTCTGGATGCAGCAGCAGTGGTGTAGTGCAGTTCCATCTCCGGCCCAGGATCCCACCCAGCTGTCCAGGGCAGTGATGTCTCCTGTCACACAAACAGCCCTTTCCACACAGAAGTCACAGCTTGATTCACAGGCTTTTGTGAAGGCCGATTCAGCTGGGGCTCATTCCTGCCTTTTCTCAGGCCCAGGAGCTAACACTTCACTCCTTCCACAGTCCTGTGGCCGTGGGGGGCCATGGCTGCTCCTCGGGAGCACAGAACAGGCTCCCTGGCTCAGTCCCATACCTTGGGCCCAGCACGGCTGCCCCAAGAGAGAGCAAGGAGAAATCTTGCTCAAGCCACCAGGGCCTGGGGAGAGTCTCACATGGGGGAGTGGGCACAGGCAGGATGTGGCTACCAGACCCTTCCAGTGGCCCCACAGCAACATGAAAACCCAAACAACCATGGACCCTAAACTTGTCACACTGCTCGCTTTTTCTCTCCTCTCCTCCTGATGTCAGTTCCTGGTGCAGTCCCAGAAATAACACGAACAAATTCTTGGCTTGCTATTTTTGGCAGCTCCTCCCACCAAGGAAAGAGGGAGATTACACTGTGGGCTATTCAGGCAAGCTGGCACGCCGGCCACAAACAGGCTTTCTAGCCCGTACGGCTCTAATGATAAATCCTGGCCACGCTGAACACTCGCTTTTGGCTTCAGAGCGCGTTTTGGAAGGGCCAGTGCTGTGCTAGACAAGCCGCCTACACGTTTGGAAGGTGCTATTTATTTATTAAGTCTATTTAACGAGTAGAAATAGATCTGTGTGGTGGGCACGGCGACCCAGGGTGACTGGTGTGGGATGAGAGGCTCCCGGCTCCCTGGCATGTCAAACACACCACGACTGGCACCACCCCCCGGGCTGCAAAGATAAGTAGCAGGGTGATCACCTTTTAATCT